TCTATCTATCTATCTATCTATCTATCTATCTATCTATCTATCTATCTATCTATCGTTGGGGTTTGGTCTGGTGCCATGCATTCAAATGCTAAATAACTGGCCCCTAAGATCTGATTGCAGCCCAAACAAGCACATTCTCACATATACCAAGTGATATTGTGTAAACTTTGCTCACCGATATTCTTTAGTTAAATAAAGCTGCTGACAGCCTGTAGGTGGGCAGAAAAGAAACAGGCAGAGCTTAGGTTCCTGGGCTTGGGGTCTCAGAGAGAGACTATGAGGCCAGGAGAAGCAGGAAAGGAAGCAGAAGATACAGCAGGAGGAGAAGCCAGGAGAGAAGGAGGTCTCCATGGGACAGGATGGACCATGAGCACGTGGCCGTAAGGGCTGGCCCGATGGAACAGAAGCAGCCAGGGCAGGAACAATTATAGCGAGTAACCTGGGGTGTATAGCTGAGAAGTAACAAAATAGCTTAGAGGGTTGATATTTGCCCAGTTACTGTGCTTTAAAGCTTTTATTAATCTAAAAGGTCTCTGTCTTGATTATCTGGGGAACTACTTGGGGTAGAAAAACCCTCTAGAGTCTAATATCCCTTCTACAACTCTCTCTCTTCTCTCAGGTACTTGTCAGAGCCACACCATTCTTCCTTCTCATCCAGTTAAGAAACTGTTTCCTGGTGAGCCATACAGCTCAGAGAAGTAGCTGCAGTGGCTAGAGTGGACAGACACAGACCTGGCAGGAGTTAGAGAAGACGTTTCTCCAAATACCAGGATTGTGTCAGTGCTTACCTGGCCACTTGCTCACCCATCATCTTATCTCCCTCCTTCAATCTTTTTGCTGCAAACCTGAAAAAAAAAAAAAAATTCCATTCTTAGTGTGCAAGAACGCCTGGGAGAAAACATCTTGAGCATCAAGGCAAACAAATGGCAAAAGTCTGGGACACTGTGTGCAGAAACACTACCCAGTGTGCCAGGGCAGAACAACCATGGGAAAGAGTGTGAGCTGTTCCTGCTCCGGATCCCAGAATACGCATTCTATCAACAAATGTGAGAATCTTACCACTGTTGGAGGTGAATGTCTGTCAATGATATTCAAAATACAGCGCAGGCTCTGCTGATATTTGTCACCCTAACCCTAACCAACCCCAAAGGATGGCAATTACCATTTTGTTTTGTTTAATCGAGTCTCCTATGACTGGTCTTAACTTGTGGTCTTCCTGCCTCAGCTTCTCAAGGTATGAGCTACTATGCCCATTTGCTAGTTAACATCATTAAATGGTAATTTTTGAATCAAGAGTTGAATCTTTGCCAATCAGCCATGAGGGAAAAATACTCTGTGATGGCTGCATTACTCACTTAGGTTAAAACCCTGCTGAAGCACCATTGAAGGGTATTTATTCCTTCTTTGCCATCATGTGTTTTCTGAATGTAAGTCCAAGACAACTATGAACCACATTTTTAATAACATTGGTGAACAGAAGGCAAAAAATGATGACTTTAGTCCTAGCGACTTCTGCTCAACTCTTGCCAGTACTTCCTCTTCCTCCCTGCCCCTGCCCTCTGCACTCATCAGTTCTGGAAGCCACTCCACTGAGCATCGAAAGGCAAGCTGTGCAGAGCGGACCTTTGCCTACAGCAGATAAACACCCATGAAGCTCATCACTGGCACATACAGGGAGGAACAGGGGGAAAGCCTGGTATTTCAGTCAGGAGCTGTCTTAAAAGATGAGCTGCTGTGCTTCAAAATATGGACCAACATACAACGTAAGAAGCCGAGGAGAGAAACAGTACCTCATGTAAGGATCCACAGAGAGGAAGAGGGCTTCAAGCAGGACCTCTACAAAATAAAGCATTCCAGAGCAGTTAGAGACTGGAGACCTGATGGCTACGACGCTCTGGCATTCTGAATAAACAAGCCTGGTTCTTCTGCGAGGGGCAGAAGGTGCTATTGATTTTACAGTGTTGTGGGTTGATCCCAGAGCCATGTGCATGTAAGAGAAACTCTCTCACCATAAGCTTCGCCTACAGCTTCCCACCTTCCTCCTAATGAAGATGACAAGGGCTTTCTTTCGCATTTGGCCCAGCCCAGTTGATCATGATGACCACTGGCTACCTGTATTATTGTAGATGATCAGTTTGTTTGATGTTTTCAACTACTGTTCCGTCCTACTTAAGGTCAAGTTAAGTAACTCATCCAAAGCCACATGTGTGAGCGAGCGCCATGCTCCAGTGTGCATGTAGTGTCTCGCTTTCTCCCGCTGTGGTAAAGCCCGGGACCAGAGGCAATTGGGGAAGGAGACGGTGTATTTCACCTCACATGCCGCCAGCCGTGAAACCTCCAGAAGGAGCCTGGAGGCAGGAGGTGAAGCAGAGCTTCTGCACACTGGCTTGTCCAGTCTACTTTCTTATACACCACCACCTGACCCCCCCCAGGGTGGCCCCACCCACTGTGAGCTGAGCCTATATAAATCAGTCAAGAAAAGGTCTATAGACACGCCTACAAGCAATCTGATGGATCCATTTTTCTCAGTTGAGGTTCCTCTTCCCAGATAACCCTAACTTGTGTCAACTTGACCAAAAACTACCCAGGGCACATCCTATTTTATTACCTACCTCATCAATACAAAAGAAGATGTACTTTGTTAAAGTGACCTCAGCTTATATTTCTGAAACCTTGAAATTTTTGTTTTGTTTTGTTTTTTGAGACAGCATTTTCTATGTAGCCTTGGCTGTCCTAGACTCACTTTATAGACCAGGCTGGCCTTGAACTCATAGAGATCCATCTGCATCTGCCTCCTTAAGTGCTAGGATTACAAGGATGCGCCACCACGCCCAGCAGGAGTTTTGAATCCAAGATTTGGCCACTGCATCCTAAACTCAGACACTGTCATGGTCAGTGACAGCACTCTGTTCTCAAAAGCTTACTCACTGCAACACCCCAGAGACACCGCTCAGCCTGGGCTCTGGGCACAATTGCTGAGCAATGCCCATCTCACTGTCATCATGAGGCATTCCTCTTCTGTCAAAGCCATGAGGTATCCTTATCAGGCACCCAGGCATGAGCCTCAAAAAAGCTTCCTTCATGGAGATGGGGACCCACAATGACATTAAAGCTTCAAAGAAAAAAAAAAACCCTAAAAAGGTTTATGTTGCAAAACGCACACAGATAACTCCTACCACTGTGTGCTGGCCTCCTGGCTACCCTTCCAATCAAGAAATCTTCTGTGGTTACCTAAAACCATCAGTAAGAGGAAAAGGAAGAACAGACAGCAGCAAAGAAGAAAAAGAGGAAGAAAAGGAGGAGGAAGGAAGGAAGGAAGGAAGGAAGGAAGGAAGGAAAGAAGGAAGGAAAGAAGGAAGGAAAGAAGGAAGGAGAAGTTTTTGAGGTTTTGGGTTTATGTTTTGTTTTGTCTTGATTTGATTTATTTTGTTTTGTTTTGGGTATTTTTGAGACAAGGCTTCTCTGTGTAGCCTTGGCTATCCTGGACTCACTTTGTAGATCAGACTGGCCTCAGACTCACAGAGATCTGCCTGCCTCTGCCTCTCTAAGTGCTGCAATTATAGGCGTGACCCACCGTGTCCAGCTTGACCCATGGACTTTTAAGAAAAGCAACTTATGTAATATAGAAGCTTGAAGGTTCTTGAACACTGGAGCTTGCCAACCTCCAGCTGTTTAGATCCTCTACAAGGAAAGCACCCAATCTGCTGGGTCAGGAAGGCCTCACGGGGGAACTGCAGCCTGACCCCAACAGGAAGCCTGCTGTCATTAGACAGACGAATGAAATCACTGAGCCTGGATGACTCCTGCAAAGAACCATCAGCCTTTAGTAGCCAAACTTTGGGACTCTCGGTTAGACAGCTGGTGCTGGCTGACAGCCCCTGCCACACTCACTCACCTCCATTTTTTAAGGGTGGGAGCTCAGTGGTCTTCAACTCGAAGTTACTGTCAGTAGGGAAGCCTTCAAAGTGCTTCTTCAGGGTCCAGCTCTTGGCCTGCACCATCCTGATGTACCTAAAAGACGGTTGGGAAACCTGTAGTCAGTGACCATCTGACTACAACATAGCACCGGGGCCAGAAAACACAGCCCTGTTATCATCGATCATATTATAGTTTTATCATATCCATCTAGAGCTTCCTGGTATTATGCTAAGCATGTCTGATCTTATTTTGTTCCCACAACTTTCCTATTAAGTGTCATTGTATTCACTTCAGGTGTGTGGACCTAGAAAAAGGCTAAAACAAACTCTCAAGGCAAAGAAAATGTATACTGACAAATTCTGTCCCAGCCATGCTGGAGTTTCTCTAGGACATTAAACAACTAATGGGCTTACAAAGTCCTGTTGTTTCGCCTCTCTCCTGTAGTAAATCTTCATGAAAAGCCTCAAACACAGGGAACCAAAGCCTACCCCTTTTTTTTCCTACAGAAGCATGGCCTCATTGCCAGTGGGGGGCGCCGATGCTCCACCTCATCTCTGGTTTTCAGTTCAACAGGGAAATCAACTAACCATTTGGTTTAAACTTTTCTCCAGGAAAAACCTATAGATATGGTTGAGCAAATGTCCTTGTTGCGTACTTGAGCATCTTTTGGATATATGCCTAGGAGTGGTATAGCTGGATATTGAGGAAGTGCTATTCCTAATTGTCTGAGAAAGCGCCAGATTGATTTCCAGAGTGGTTGTTCAAGTTTACATTCCCACCAGCAATAGAGGAGGGTTCCCCTTTTTCCACATCCTCTCCAGCATGTACTGTCACTTGAGTTTTTCATCTTAGCCATTCTGATTCATGAAGGTGAAATCTCAGGGTTGTTTTGATTTGCATTTCCTTGATGACTAAGGACATTGCGCATTTTTTTAAGTGTTTCTCTGCCATTCTATATTCCTCTATTGAGAATTCTGTTTAGTTCTGTACCCCATTTTTTAATTGGATTACTTGATTTGTTGCTGTTTAACTTCCGAAGGGGGAGACAGAAAGACCTGGAGGGGACATGAGCTCTAAAAGGAGAGCAACAGAACCAAAATATCTGGGCACAGGGGTCTTTTCTGAGACTGATACTCTAACCAAGGATCTTGAATGGAGTTAACCTAGAACCCCTGCACAGATGTAGCCCATGGCAGCTCAGTATCCAAGTGGGTTCCCTAGTAAGGGGAGCAGGGGCTGTCTCTGACAGGAACTCAGTGGCTGGCTCTTTGATCACTTCCCCTTGAGTAGGGAGCAGCCTTACCAAGCCACAGAGGAAGACAATGCAGCCAGTCCTGATGAGACCTGATAGGCTAGGGTCAGAGGGAAGGGGAAGGACCTCCCCTATCAGTGGACTTGGAGAGGGGCATGGAAGGAGATGAAGGAGGGAGGGTGGAATTGGGAGGAAATATGGGAGGAGCCTACAGTTGAGATACAAAGAGTATAAACTGTAAATAATATAAAAATTAAAAAAAAAAAACAGCAACAGACAAAGCTGCTATGCTTTAAGGAGTTTTGTGCACAGAGCTACCCATTGTAAGCTTACCCATCAGATAAGCACTCAAGGCTGACCAGTTAGTTAGCTTCACTATGTCCCTCTCACCCTTGGAGACACCCTGGCTGGAGGGCGGTGAGATGGCCAATCCAAAGCCCAGCTCTTCCTGTTTATTTCTCACTGTTTGCCAGAGAGGTTCGGGAAACTCAGGCTTTCATCCCATCCTCTCATGAACAATCGGTGGGTGCTGATAATCGAAATCGGAACAAACCCTCTTAACTGCTGTCATCTCTCCAGCCTCAACCGCACCCCAAAAAAGTAAGATTTTTGTTTTGTTTTGTTGTTTTTTGAGCCAGGGTTTCTCTGTGTAACAGTCCTGGCTGTCCTAGAACTCCTTTTGTAGACTGGACTCAAACTCAGAGAAATCCGCCTGCCTCTGCGTTCCAAGTTCTGGGATTAAAGGCGTGCGCCACCATGCAGGGATAAAAAGTAGGGTTTTTAAACTGAAAAACAAAAACCAAAACAACCGAAACTTACCTTGGTAGCGCACAGTGTATGCAATGTAGCGAGCCTAACACACTCATCACCTTCTTGAACTTCCACTTTTATGATGAGACCTTTGAAATCTGCTTGTTTTGAATTAGTATGTTGACAAGAGTCACACTCCTGTCTGACTCAACCCGTTTACCAAGACTTCTAACCCTTCTCAGCTTCTGGAAACTATCATTTTACCCTGTATTTCTGAGTTCGATTTGTTGTTTGTTTTTCTGATTACAGAGCATTACTGTGTAGCCGAGGCTGGCCTTAAATTCACTAGGAGCAGAGGTTGTCTTCGACCCCTCTATCCTCTTCCTTGCACAGGCTGGGTTAACAGGCAGGGGAAAATAGTTTATCATTATTTTGTGTGTGCATGATCAGGTGTGTGGGTGAGGGCGCATGCGTGTCACTGAGGGTTGGTAGAAGTCGGAAGACCATCGGGAGTGGGTGGTTCGCGCCTTCCACCCGTGGGTTTTGGGGATCGAACTCACATTGTAGGTCTTGCCTGGCAACACCTTCACCCGCAGAGCCATCTTCACAGGCGGGTTTCCATTTTGTTTTGTTTTAAGACCCTACGTTTCCGTCGCTCTTTTCAAAACGGCAGAGGAGGACCCCTAGGAACGGGTCTCGGTGCAGAGCCTGGCTGCCTGTCCCGGCCAGCATGCTGGGCTAGCTCTTTTTTTTTTTTTTTTTTTTTAACTTGCATGAGCAAATCCCCACTCCTTCTCTCTTCTCTTCCGCCTCCATTTAGCAACCCTGCAGACTCTAGCCAGCCCTTCCCGGGTGCTGGCAGTTCCGCTGCACGCGGTTCCCGAATCTCTCCAAGAACGTGCGGGGACTGCAAGGCGATCCTGGACTCCCTAACTGCTAAGAGCCCCGGGGCCCCTGAGCACCGGCGGGGTGGGGTACCTCCAGCGCTCGCTTGCTCAACCCGGCTCTAGAAGCTCGGCGGGGGGGAAGAAGGGGTTGGGGGAAGGAAGAGCAAAAGGAGAGGGATCCGGAATAACAGTGTGGCTACTTACAGAAGCTCCCCAATACTTCCTCCCCGGAGGCCGCTCGGAGTGCTTGGAGGGACCAAGTCTTGGCCTTTATTGGGCAGTCGCAAAGGGCGGGGCTTCTCCAGGGAGGGGCAGCTTCTGGGAGCTTTGGAGTTTTTGCAGCAGAGGGTCAAGGCGCAGTAGGGACATTTAGAAGTGTCTTCACAACTCCGAAGTCACATTGCTCAATGAATATAGTTTACACCGAAAGGTAAAGATTGGGAGGAAATGCAAACTGGTTTCCTTTCTCGTAAAGACTCCCGCCTGTAAATGAGAATTTAAGAAGCCTTCCTGAGGAAGGTGGTGGAGGCTCAGGCTGAGGGGAGTGCTCAGACGGCTCTTCACAACGCCAAGTCACAGCGTTCTTTAAACAGTCTGGTTTGAGATGGCCTTAGAAAAGCACCCGCTGTCTCCACAGTTTTGACATTTTATGCTGAATTCCTGCTCTCTGGTGGGGAGCCTACCCAGATTTTTGAGTGACCAGCCTCTTTCCCTTCTCCAGTCCTTCTCATTGTCCATCTTTGTGTCTCACATTCGTACAAGCATGTGATACAATGAGTGCTGGATCTCAGTAAGTCATATTCATTGATGAATTACCAAGCCCTAGGCCTTGTGATAGAAATAAAGTGTAGAAAGATGATTTAACTTTTTACTCGCTATTACCTCTTCCTTGAGCACAGTTGTTACTGTTGCTGTTTGCTTTTTCACTCCTTTTCTGTGACGATTCAAAAATACTCATAAAGGACTTCCTTGTTTTTAACCAAATTGGAGTCCTATTTCTTTCTTATTTGCTTATTTGGTTGAGTCCCAGACCTCACATAGTCCAGTATACACTCTGCTACTGAGATGTGGTTTTTCAAGACAGGGTTTCCCTGTGTAGCCTTGGCTGTCCTGGACTCGTTCTGACAAGGCTGGCCTTGAACTCACAGCAATCTGCCTGCCTCAGGGTCTTTCTAAAGACGATATTTTGTTCCATTTTCCCCTGATTTAATGTTACAGTTGTCTTCCAATGCAGATAGAGCTTATTATTTGTGAGTATTCCATACAGAGGTGTGCAGCCATTAGCTCCTCAGTGCTGGGGGAGGTGTGTAGCCATGAGCTCCTCAGTGCTGGGGTTGCTTCTACTGCTCTTCTGCATCCTGTCCATCTACAATGCTATAATATATGTTTGTATGAAGAACTGCATTATTTTTCATTAATTAATAATTTACTTTACATACCGGTAGGAAGTTCTCACCCTCCTCTCTTCACAGTCTCTCCTTCTCCTTCTCCCCTCTCTTTTCCTCCCCTTATTTTCCCTCCCTTCCTTCTCAGAGAAGGGGAGAGGTCCCATGGGTATCAACCGCCTTGCCATACCAAGTAGGACTGGGCTCATCTTCTTCTGTTGAGGCTAGAAGAGGCAGCCCAACTAGGCAACAGAGTCAGAGACAGCCCGTGCTTCTGCTGTTAGAGGACCCACATGAGAACCAATCTGTTTATCTATTGCATATGTGGAGGGGAGGGGCTAAACCATCCCTTGGGAGCTCTCTGGTTGGTGGTTCAGTCTCTGTGAGCCCCAATGGGTCCAGGTTAGTTGATTTTGAAGGTCTTCTTGTGGTGTCCTTGACCTCTCTAGCTCTTTCAATCCTCCCTCCCCTCCTCCATAAGATTCCCCGAGCTCTGTCTAATGTTTAGCTGTGGATTTCTGCATCTGTTTTCATCAGCTGCTGCATGAAGCCACTCAGGTGACTGTTAGAACTATGTTATTCTAATGCTTTTATCTCCACAGAGGAGTTTCAAAATGTGACACTGATTTTTGTTTTATGTATATGAGTGCTTTACCTATATGAACGTGTGTGTAATACATGTGCACCTGGTGCCTACAAGAGGTGAGAAGAAGGTGTTGATCCCCTGAGGTTGGAGTAAAGGAGAGCAGTAAGCTACCACATGGTTGCTGGGAACTAAACCAGGTTCTCTGGAAGAGCAGCCACTGCTCAAAACCACTGAGCCAGCTCTCAAGCACCTTAAGAATATGTTTTTGAACTAGGCCATGGTGGCACATGCCTTTAATTCCAACTCTTGGGAGGCAGAGGCAGGCAGATCTCTGAGTTAGAGGTCGCCTGTTTTACAGAACAAGTTCCAGGACAGCCAGGACTACACAGAGAAACCCTGTTTCAAAAACCACCCAATAATAGTTACCAATATATTAGCTGGATAAAGTGGCGTTGTACTCAACCAGTTTGACCTAAGAAATAACAATTTCACAGGTTAACCCCAGGAGGTTACCACACTGCTCTCCAAAAACTACTTTGGCAATTTGGATTTCTTTCTGGCCTGTCTGAGAGTTCCTGTCGACTAACGCACACATCAGGATCAATGGTGTTGTTTTGCCTTTTGTAACCCAAACAGTGAAACCAGCTTATGTCTTGGGTCATTCAACCAACTATTATGTTTTGGGGCATAGAAGTCCTCTCTTCTCCCTGCCAGGCTTTCAGTTACCAAAGTTCAAAGTGAAGGACTCAGAATCCCACAGTACGCAAATCCCGGTTTCTTATGGAGGGCAGCAAGAAGGAGCCCTATGGTCCACTGTGAGTGTTTGTCAGCTTTCCAGCAAACACTCAGTTGACCTCAGAACTTTTCAGAAGTAAGAATCTGGGTGTCATGGAATGTAGCAGCTTGCCAGGGCTGCCTAAAATACAATAAAATACATAGACTGGATGGTTAACAATAAAAATTTAGCTTCACAAAACTGAATGTTTGTGGATTGGCCAGAAGCTGGGAGGATGGCCAGGTGTAGCGGTAGTGGCACAGGACTTTAATCCCAGCACTCTGGAGGCAGAGGCAGGCAGATTCCTGTGAGTTTGAGGCCAGCCTGACCTACATATTGAGTTCCAAGCCAGTCAAGGCTATAGAGAGAAAAATAAACAAAAAAATAAAACGCCAACCACAGTGGTGCATTTTTGTTATTCTAGCAATGAGGAGACAGACAGGGAGATCCCAGGGGCCCACTGGCCAGCCAGTCTAGCTGACCCACAAGCTCCAGGCCCATGAAGAGACTGTTAAACAGCAGAATAGATGGTTCCTGAGGAATGGTGTCTGAGGTTGGAAGTGAATCATACATGCACACACATGAACCAGTCAGCATAAAAAGCTATAAGACATGCAAACATGAGGGAAAAAAATGTATTTTAAATAGAGACATCTAAGATTAATGCAAACAGGTTTTTCCTCTCTAGAAACTTGCCTTTCTGGATGGCTAATGCCCTCCCTCTCCTATGTCTTCACACAGCCTTGTCTCCCTGCTTGCAGATACCTGCTGTGTTCTCGTGAAGACACTAGTCACAATGGATTTGAGTCCTACTGGCACATGCGTTTAAATTAAGCCCCTCCCTTTGAAGGGCCCATGTCAGACCGAGTCAGAACTGGAACCTCACCTAATTTCTTCACACAGGGTTTTCAGCTCATTCAAAGGAAGTCATTTAACTTCCTTGTTTGATGATCCTCTCTCGGAGTATGTTTATAGTGTGAGGTAGGATGGGATGGGACTTCAGCATATGAATGGGGCAGAACTCAGTCCTTATTAGGGAGTTTGCATAAAATGTGGATTTTAGATTGTGGGATATAACCTAGCAATCGAAAGGTGTTCTGGGCTTGATGTTTATAGATCTCAAAGATGCAGCGATGTGGTAGGAGAGTTAGATACAGAATGAGGCATGGAATTCAAAGTCATCCCTGTGCATTAAACAGTGTCATTCATTGTTCACAGTACATAAGAACAGGTGGGGCTTGGATGTTGCTCTTTCGGTAAATGTGGCACATGCCTGAGGCCTGGGGGTCATGCACAGCACCATATAACTGGGTGTGGTAACACATGCTCTCAATTCCAGCACTAGGGACGTGGAGGCAGGAGGATCAGGAGTTTAAGGACATCATCTCCCAGGCAAGAGTTTGAGGCCAGCCTGGTCTACATGAGACTCTGTCCAAAAGAAAGAAAGAGAGAGAGAGAGAGAGGAAGAGAGAGGGGGGAAAGGAAGGTTGAAAGAAACAAAAGAGAAAAAAGGAAGATGAGAAGAAAGAAAAAAGCACAAGAAAACAACTTCACACATGGTAAACATATATTAGTCACTTTTACAACAAGAGTAGGAAACAGGAATTTTTCAACTCACATAAATTGAGAGAAAAAGGAAAGAGAAATGAGCAAAGCATTGCCACGATAATGTGCTGCAAGTGCCAACGGGTATGAAAAACTCCACCCTGTGGCCCCCAGGTCCGCGGTCACACATGCTCAGTTTAGAAACCACAGCACACCCCACTCATCTTCTGAACGGAGAGCAGGGAACGATTCCCAAGGACACAATCAGCCTGTTCCCTGGTTTCTCTGAGAGTTGGCCCGGGGGCTGACATCTGATTACAACATGCCTTTCCCATTTAGGGAAGGGACAGTTAAGGCTCCCTCTATCTTTTGCCAAAAATATATTGCAAAAACAACTGAAGCTATGAGTAATGACAGGGCCTGACATAAGGGCTTCACAGGCATTCATTTAGGCGAAGTCCAATGACAGACCATGTGAATTGCCCTTCTGGATCGCTTCTCTCTTCCTTTATAGAGTAAATGTATGCCCTACTCTGGTTAGTGTGGCAAAGTACCCAGGCAAATGACTCTTTCTCACTCCATTTGTAGCTGGGGTTGTGTTCCAGTCCTAGACAGAAGTCTAATGGGGAGGGTTCAGAGCTTTTAGGAAAACCTCTGTTTACTGATAAAATAAAAAGAAACACAGTCATTAGGCATGAACCTTTCTCTTTGTCCTTCCTGCCTGAAGTGTGGAGGAGGTGAGCTGGTTAGTATTCCAACAGCCTTCTGTGATTGCATACAAGGAAGCCACTTGCTCAGTTCATGGGGCTGTAGAGATGATTCAGCAGCTAAGCTCATGTATTGCTTTTCCAGAGGACCAGAGTCTGTTTCCCAGTATCCATGTCGGGCGGCTCACAGCTACTTGTAATCCGGCTCCAGAGGACCCAGTACACTCTTCTAGCCTCCTTGGGCACTTGATATTTGTGCATAAGCACAAGTACACACACAC